GAATTCAAAAGTGAGTTATTCTGACATTGAACTAATACATTTCCAATCAGACCTTTTATCAAGTGCGCATTTATAAAATATAACCTACAATGGGCTCAAGAGAACTATAGTAAAGAAAGACATTCATAGCTGTCTCGATATCAGGCATTAGCACAAAGTTTCTTTTCTATCAGTGTTATATTGATGATATGTATATTATAAGGGACAGACATATAACTGTCAAAACCTGTTTCATTTTTTGCTTTTTTTCTTGTTTTTTCTATTGGCTTTGGTGGTCTTCCTTTTCGTTCCTCTCTGCTTCTTTGCCTCGTTTGGTGTTTTCTTTATGGGTTTCACCGTTATCTGTAACGAATAACTCCGTAAATTAGATCTACATTGAATTGACCAAAATGTACAGGCTCGACATGCACACGCGRAGCCAAGAAGATTTAGTAGGCACTACTTTTGACCGGATCATGTCTTCATTTATTAGATAATATATTCCGACAACAAAAATCAATCTAAGATTTTAATCTTAGTTGAGTCGGAATATAATTTTTTCAATGGATAACGCKTTCACATACGTAAAAGGTGCAATATGATTGGTCAGTGATCCCAAGGCCTGTTTTCTGCAGACTCAATGAAATCACTTATCAAGTTGAATATAGCAAAACCTCACCATTACATCTCTCCGTTCTTTCGCGTACTGTCGCTCTATTTCCTCGTCGGCTCGTGTGCTTTCTATTGGAAGGCCAGGATCTGTAATTGGACGTGCCGCTTGAGTTGATGTTAGGAACGGTATTCCCCAGATTTTCTGTTCTTTCTCAGGATAAGAAGCGCGTGTCCTTAAGGAGTTAATGTACTCCCCCCACCACTCTTCTGTGCTTGCACTGAACTTTACTTTATAACGAGGGATGTCCTTTTCCAGCTTTTCTAGCTTTACTTTTTCTAAGACTAGTGGCATCGTYGCYGGTTCTGTCATAATCTCGTCGAGCACAATTCTGTCTGTCTCAAAAAATAAGTTTGCTTCCATCCAATCCTTTTTTGTGCTCCACTTTTTGTAAAAAAGCGAAACAATGCCATCTTTATTTTTCTCAATTTTAAATTGGTGAGGCTCAGAGTGACCAGAAACATCATTGAGGAGGTCAGAAACAACTTTTTTGAGATCAAACAATCGTCGAATTTGTTCCACAATAGGGCTGGGAGTGTAAGATCTCTTGATCTGATCTGACAAATCAGCAATAGTATGGGCATCATTTCTGGCAAGACGTTGAGAAATCCTTGAGAATAGCTSATCTACATCCTCATGAGTATGTCCCACCATTAAAAAGCCAAGACGTACCTGTTACACATTGTTTAAATGTCARATTTAGKATGTGTRTTGCGTTCTTTTTGGGACTAAATTTATAACAGAGTTATATTCAATTGTTGGTTTTCGTATATATAGACATAATACCGTACCTTTCTGAATATACCCAYATGTACAAGCACTCCAAGAAACGCCAACAAAAATTTATTTTTGTTTTCTCTGCCACAGTTGTCCATTTGCAGATAGAGAACTGGCGGAAGTTTCCCTTTCTGTTAAAAAAACAAACAAACAAAGAAGCCTTAACTTATCTTTTTCTGAAGCAGCGACGGGAAAGGCTTTGATTTCCTTGGCGGGGAGATGTAACGAAGTTTCAGTTTATTTCATATTTACCCTCTGCTTTTCCTGTACCAAAACATCTAGAAGAACGTTCATTGTGAAGTTAGAATCATGGGGATATTCTCTTGCGTCCATGTAGCAATAAGCTGTTGATCGGGCATTTAAAAGCACTCCAGTGACATGCATTTGCAGCTTCCATAGGTTTTCGTCAGTCTTGAAATAAGGAAAACAGATATGATATATAACCTATATGATTTATAGAGTTTCCTTGAAGTCTCAGTGGGAAAAGTTTTATTAGAAAAAAGGCGTATTTCTTTTTTTGAGTTTTCCTTTTTTGGGGTAATCCCTGGTCTCTAATATCACTCCCATTAATATTTTGCTATTACATATGATATAAAATCACCTTTGCATGCTCTGTAAAATGCGGCAGATTGGTTTTACTCTGGTCCATGCCATCCAAAATAATGGAAATATATTTTTCTGGCTGAAGAACAGCTTTGACACCATGTTTGTAATACTTTTGTCGTTCAGTCCTAAAACAAGTAAAAAGAGACTATAATTACAATAACTATAACTACGCATTTTGATATAATTGTTCACTATTCGATCTTAAGCATCTATTTGGCTTCAGATGTATTCATAATATAACTTTTGAGATGTCATGCCGTCATAAATCCACTTGATGACTTTATAAAACAATTCCAGCACGTATAGTCACACAACAAGCACCTAAACCGAGGCTAAGTAATAGATAGTGCGTATATAGTAAAAGGGCTTCTGCTACCCGATGGCAAGAAAGATATAATAATAACMCTCAGTGCCGTCACTGCTAGAAACTCAATTTCTTACATTTGTTGCAAAAGATGGACCTTTCTCATATTTGTAAAGCGAATTCTTTTTTCTCTTGGAAGGCGTGAGTTCATTAACTGGGTTTTCAAATGAACACAAACACCACACTTCGTGAATCGAGATTGCTAGAAAAAATAATGATAAAAACATATTATAGTTTAATGTTTATAAGGCCAGATAAATACCGGTATTGGCATACTATTTGCTATCGCTATTTTGCAGCTCCTAATTACCTTGGGTATGATAACATTAGGGAACTCTTTCGGCCACATGGAGTTTATAAAATGTTGTCTTGACAAAGGTTTGTGTGTACCGCTTTTGGTTTTCATATCTTCTGTGTACAACATATGTACACCTTTTTTTGTTAAACACGAGGGTAGGTTAATTCGTCCAGTATTCGGCATGACATCGGCTGTTTGAATGAACCTTCGCATCCATTCTTTTGCTATTTC